ATGGGTGGCCTGCGCGGGAGTTCGGGCAATAAAGGAGTTCCTGTTTGAACCTACAAGTGCCTCCTCGTGGCGGCTCGGTTATTTTGTGCCCAGCCAGACTGCGGCAGAAATGTATGTTTAAAATTAGTTAAAATGGTTAATTTTATGTTATGTATATTTCACCATGATTAAAACAGAACTTGGCCCTCCTGACCCGATTGAAAATATCAAAATGAGAGGTTATTGAAGATCAGAGTGAGAGGGATTTTGAAGATTCCTCTGGAGAGAACTGGACAGGGCAGAGGACATGGGGAAGGGGAACCCAGTCCTACCCAAGATTAAAGAGCATGGCTTCAGGGACACCATCTGGGAGGTACATCCTGTGTTTCCCTCAGTCAGGGAGCACAGTGGCCTGATGTCTGACATCTGCTGGCAAATCTAGAGGGCAGAAGTGGGCTGGCCAGCTGGTTCAGGGCACAGCAAGAGCCGCCATGATGCTGGGTTAGGCCTCAACTTTTCCTCTTTGATCAAATAAGAGGTAACCGTCTCCCACGGCCCAGTGGTAGGCCAGAGTCCCACAAGATGGCTGGTGTGGGTTTTGTCTCAAATGCTGCCCCATGGGGCTGTGGAGAGAATCAGTCCATGGGACTGAGCACAAAGGGAGATGGAAACAGGTCTGGGAGAGGCTGTGGAGAAACTGAGTGGCCTCAGGCTAGAGGGTGTTGAACCTCAGAAAGAGAGCTGACTGGAAGTCAGAAAGACCACCTCTAAGTGAAAGGCCCTCCTTGGCAGAAGACCTCATGGGCAAGTCCCAGGAGAGAAACAGCTGCTGGCCCCCAGGGCTAGAAGACCCACGCCCCCCTCTCTGCCCGCCTCATCTGTCCCTGATGAAGAGAACAGGTGTGTGGGAGAGAAGCCAGTGTGACGGGGAGGGCCAGCCACGCGCCCCCCCCCCCCCCAGCTTTCCAAGGAAGGTCCAACTGTGCCACATCACATGGGACTGAGCATTTTGGCTTCTAAATCAAACCATTTTTCTGTCTAAAGGAGCTTTAAGTCTTGGTGTTCAGGAAGAATTGCCAGGTTATGGGCCCGCCTGAGATGGTGCCCAGCGACAGGAGAAGAGCCCAGCCCTCTGCAGGACAGACATGGAGTAGCTGTGTTTCTCTAGAGTGCTGCCTGCTCAAGCTGTAGCTCCACCTCTGCACATTGGCCCTCAGGCAAATCAGACGACAGGATGTTCCCAAACAGCCCTGGGAGAGTACAGTCCCCCCTGTGGGCTCTGGCTGCTGTCCCACACCCTGTGTTATAACTTTCCTTGTATCAAAGGGATGTTTATCCTCCCCTCACCAAACATCTAGATGTCAACACCTTGAGGGCAAGAACTGTGTCTTGCTTAAGTCCACACTGTCTGCCACACTGAGGACATGGTCCACCTTAAAGACAGGCTGTCAAATGACCGAGTAGCTGATGGGTGAAATAAGGCATAGCTGGCTGCCTCTTATGTGTTGGTTTATGAAGGCAAAAAAGACACTGGAATTGCCTTTCCCCTTCCTGTTGCCCAGCTGAGTTGGACTAGGATTTATCCACTGGACAAGCCCACCCTAAAAATGCTATTAGACATTGCAGCAAATATCATTCCACACTAGTGTCAGAGACTGGACTTTGTTGTCCGGTATTTATCTTAGGAAATTCAAAAATACAAAATAAGTGTCGTGATAGATAATCATGCACAGCCCCGACTCCAAGCATCACCTGCTCCTCACACTTTATCCCTCATCTCTGTTTTATGTACTGATTTCTTTCTTGGAATATTAATGTAAAGGTCACTCCGAATAAAATGAATATTTAACCTTTTATTTTTAAAAGAGAGTCTAAAACTAGTCCTATCGTGTGTGTCAGGAAAAGAGGTAAATCCAGGTGTATAGACTTGTCTCTTGAGAGTGGGGAAGATGAATAAAAGGGGGTCCTGGGGACCCCATGGGGTATGGAGCAGTCACCTGTCACCTGTGCTCCTGGGTCAACCTGCCCAGGGACCTTTCTTTTTTGCCTTGGATGCAATTTTAACTTTTTTTTTGGAAGGAAAAATAGACTGTGGCAAAAGCTCGGAGCAGTGGTTTTCAACCAGAGTGATTCTGCCCTTCCCCTCTCCCCAAGAAAATTTGGCAATGTCTGGAGTCACTTTTGATTGTTAATACCAGAGGCTGGTGCTACTGGTATTTGGTGGTAGAGACCAGGGATATGGCCAAACATTCTGAAATACCCAGCACAGCCCCCACACAACAAAAATCCTGCCCCCAAATGGTGATAGTGCCAAGATGGAGAACTCCTAATTTTTTTTTTTTCCATAAAAGACAAGGAAGCGCTTGGCAATCGTGCAGGGAACAGAAAGGGCTACAAAAATATTGATTGTAATATGTCTTACTCATCCATTGAGATGTTAGTTTGAAAACCCTTCTCCAAGTCTGGAATCCATCAGGGAGATTAAGGATGCTAAAGGTTTTTATCAGTGATCAGTGTTTTGTGCTTTTTCGAAAGGTCAAGAGTTGTCATAAGAAAGGGCAGAAACACTTCCATGCAAATCATACTTGAAATTATCCCAAGTAGATTTTAACAACTAATTTTATTAAAGTCAGTGCTGCAAATAGCCAGGTAGTTTTTAATCCAGGGTCAAAGCTGAGGAGACAGGGTTGGGGGAGAAGATAAATAATGGAGCTTCTTTCTAGCTTTATGCTGTTGAATTTTTGTTTTATGTTTTTTGTTTGTTTGTTTGTTTGTTTTTGTTTGTTTGTTTGTTTGTTTGTTTTTTGATAACTCAATGAGTGCCTTTGTGTTTGGGCTGGTGTCTCTTTGTGTTGGCCTTCCACTTCAGAATGACTAGCCAGTGCAGGGTGCCTAGGTATCACTGTGTACCTGTGACACTGACCCCACTGTTTATTTTAAATTTATTTTTACAAATATTAAGTACTTTGAGGGAACATGAAGAAGGAAAGGCGTGTTGTGATTGCTTTCCTGAGTGGGTGGGATGGCCATCACCAAAGTCAGTCGGTTAGGAAAGAGGTGGGCTGCAAGTGAAGGCAGAGGGGCTGAGCACGGGACCTGGAATGCCCTCCCTCCTTCCTCTCCTTCCCCCACCTGTCCCTCCTCCCCTCCTTCCCCTCCTCCACCATCCTCTCCTTCCTCCTCTTCCCCCTCCTCCTCTGACCTCCTCTTCCTCCTCCTCACCCTCCTCCTCCTCCTCCTCCTTCTCACAACTCAGTCAGTGAACTTGCGTTTTATGGGCTACTTCACAGACCTGCAGGGAATAAACAGCTTGGTAGGAATTAGGGAAGGGGAGAGGGTCTAAATTGAATATCCCAGTTGCCTGCAGTTTAGATGCTGACAAGAAACCAGCAGTTTTTCCTGAGGAACATGTTGGAACATGTCAGGAGAGGGCGGGGAAGGACAGCCCGCTTCTTAAATAAGACCTCATTGATGGCACCATATTAATTTTAATCATTTAATTAAAAATGCTCTTCTTCTTCACTGCCCGTCAATAAATTATACAGGTATTCATCAGGGCCATGCTTGGCGGGAAAGCAGTATCTCTGACAGGGAGCTCACCAACGGGAGGTCTCCCTTTCGCCTCTCCTGACTGTACCACGGACCGTCTTATTGCCCTGTCAATCATCCTAGGCTTATTGTCCAAAGATGTCCACAGGGTGGTAGCTTGTCATGATTCTGGGAGCCAGAGGCCTGCCAAGGAGTTAGTTGGGCAGGTCATACCCAACACAAAAGAATTCTCCCTATGTCTTCAGCCTTTGGGGGCTGCAGACTCTCCATGGATTGTTGTTACATAACTCTGGGCTTTTCCACAGTATCTGTATCTTGTCCTCTTTGGTCTCCAGTAAGATGCTTGTCATTGGATTTAGGGTCCTCGTGGACAATATTATCTTGAAATCCTTAACTTAGTCACATCTACAAAAAAGTTTTTTTTTCAAATAATATTACATTCCTACGTTCCTAGGATTTGGACATAGGCATCTTTTTAGGGCCACTATTCATAGATAGATGCCTATAGATAGATGTTGGTCATCTATCTATCTTTTATCTACCTGTCTTAGTCTCCTTTTTTTTTTTTTTTTAATTTTCTAGAATGTTATATACACAGTAGTTACTAGTAACTGTTGATTGGATTTTAAAGTGGCCCAAATTAATGTCTGCACTGATTGTCCCACCTTGTTTCAAAAATGTCCTACCATCCCTTCTAAGGAACATGTGAACATATTCTCAGACCTTTCAAAGCAAATGTGTGTTTTAGATTAAAGATGAAAAATATAGTAGGCACACCCAAAGGAAGAGCTGTCAGTAAATTGAACTGTTATTATAACCTGTGAGATTGCTGTTCTTCTGGGTGTTAATCCTTGGGCTGCAATTAACTTCCTGGGTGTTCTTGAGGATTACTAGCTTCCAGCAAGGTATAAATATCTCCCTCCATTGAATTCACCTTATTTACCCTTTATTAATTTAGGTGCCTTCAAAGAGAGAGAGAAAAAATTGATCCCAGCTTTAAAAATAGGGGGAAGAAATTATAGTATTAACAGGCTTGCTCTTATTTGATTCACTGAAATTGAGTCAGTTCTAGATAGAACAAGGACAGGCATTGACCATGTTCTCGGTTGGTTCTGGAAGCAGCATAGTGGAGAGGAAGGGGGCCTGGGGGCTGTAAGGAGACCCACTCAGGAAACCTAGTGAGTTCTAGACCTAGACACCCGGACCTGTCTCCATGGCCCTCTGTGTGACTTTGGACAAGACACTTCATTTCTCTGGGCTGCAAAGTGGAAGCCTCAATCTCTCACCTTTTTAGAAGTCAGATGGGTTGGACCAATGGTGTCGATCAATGATCTGGAGTGTCATGGCGCCCACTCTTTCCAGACTGTTCCTTCACTCAGCCTCGGAGTTTTCTTTGCGATTAGAATCTGGAGTTGGTTCAGAATTAAGAAACAGTGCTGTGTCTTTGTTTCTCTCTGTTCACCTGCTTGCAGCGGAAAGCTACAAGGAAACGCGGACCGTGAAGATTAAAGAGGAACCCATGGAGGTTGATGTCCAGGACGCCCCCGTCTCCATATCACCCAGCCGGAATGCTGGCTACAGCACTTTAATCGGGCGAGAGAAAACCGAACCCTTACAGAAGATGCCAGAGGGCAGGGTACCCCCAGAGAGGAACCTCTTCAGTCAGGACATCTCTGTAAAGATGGCCTCCGAGCTTCTCTTTCAACTGTCGGGTATGTTGGGGTTAGGGAAGAAAAGGCAAAAATTTGAAATCACGGGGAGGAAGGCCCTTTTAACAAGGAAATAAATAAATAAATAAAAAGGAAAAAAAGAAAAGCCAACCCACATATGATAGGAAGTTTTAGACAGAAATCAATTTTGTTACTTTAACACCCAGACTGCCACCCAAATGAGCAGTTAATAAGGCATCGCCAATTAGAATTCCTGCCAGACTTTCTTTAGTAAATAGTTAAAAATCTTTTGAAATGAGAACTCTGCAATTTGGTGCAAATGATCCAGGTTAAAAAACCTTACCTCTGATTTTGATTTGGTTTGTTGATCGGATTAACAGCCATTTTATTTTTTCCTACTGTGCAAAAGACACACTGACGTTTGCTCCAGTGTTGACTGAATTGCCATGAACTCCAAGTTAGTGTGGTCTGGCTTAATGAGATCCTATTATAACTTGCTAAACAGAAATCAAAAGGATGAAGACTACTTCCAGGTAGAGCCTAAGAGAATATTTTCTGTAAGCCAACTTTTTCTACTTTGAATACTTTCAATTCAAAAGTGCAGTAATGGCCAGCCCAGTGAAGTGTCTGGATGAAGTAGTTGAGGGTCCCAGCACCTAAGCTGTCCCTCTCTGCAGCTCTTTTCAAGCCACACACCATTTGTCCCTCACAAATTTAATATGCAGTTATTCTTTGAACTTGAATGGCACTGATAAATACACAGAGAAGACTCAGATTATGATAGAAATATTATTTAATTAGCTTCTAAATACACAAAAGTCCATAGTCCACAGCCAAGCACTGGCCTACACTTTGAAGTTTATGCATCAGTAGAACTTGTTTGATAAACTGTTTTGTTATGGGTAACAAAACATCCACTAAATTCTTCATTTTTTTAAATTACTTTTTATAGTGGTAGATGGACAGAATGCTTTTATTTTATTTGTTCATTTTTATGTGGTGCTAAGGATCAAACCCAATGCCCCACACGTGCCAGGTGAGTGCTCGCTGCTGAGCCACAACCCCAGCCCTAAATTCCACATTATTTAAGTGTTCACTTACTTTCTTTCTTTTTTTTATATATAAATTTTTTTTGATGGACTATTAAGGAGACTTAGTGTCTTTTTTTTTAAAAGAGAGAGAGAGAATTTTAATATTTATTTTTTAGTTATCGGCGGACAGAACATCTTTGTTTGTATGTGGTGCTGAGGATCGAACCCGGGCCGCACGCATGCCAGGCGAGGGCGCTACCGCTTGAGCCACATCCCCAGCCCTGTTCACTTACTTTCCTCCCTACAAAAAACACAGGGAAGAATCTGTGTTCCTCCGTGATGGTTCGTTCGCTTTCTCCTTGGCCTGGAGACAACTCCTAGCTGGGTAACTACCAGATCGTGCTGAAAATGGTGGCCCCCAGCTTCTCCAACAAGGGCTGTTTTTGCTCAGCTCTCTTCATTATTGGAAATCACCAGTTTGATAAATTTAATAGGACACGGGTCTTTACAAGCTCCAAAACCATGTGATTTTTTTTTTTAAAGTCTGAGACATATCTGAAAACAGTATCACTTTGACAATGATTAAAATCATTTGAGAGTTAAAATTAGCAAAAGTGAGACCTGTGTGGTTCTTTTCAGAAAGTCTCTGACAGTACATTATCACAGTCTCCTATCAGCTCAGTGTCTGAGAGTTCTCACCCTGGCGCTGTCACTGACCTCAGACAAGTCACTTAGCCCTGACTTCCCGCTCTCTGCAAGAACACTGGCTGGCATTCCCAGTTCACCCTTGTCATTGTTGAATGGACAGAAAGGAATTGTCTATGTAAACACACGTACTGTGGCTTCAGACTAGTATTACAAAGTGCGGGACAGATGTCGTAAACCTTGGTTTACATTTTTCTAAAACCCCACAGGATCAGGAGTTTGTTCCTGGTCCTGCCGTTGAAATCTGAGACCCTCCTAGAGTTAGCCATGGTTTCTCTAGCTGCTTTAAGGAAGCCATTGAGGGCTGCCGTGGTCCCGGTAGAGTCCTCCCATTTGAACTGGATTGAGAAAGCCAGAGATCAACTTTTGTGTTCTTAGAAGCTAATTAAATAATTTCTGACAGCTGGGAGATTCACACCCCAAGACCCAGGAAGGGAGGGTTTCCCTTTTCGTGTCTAATGATCTGTTTTTGTCCATGGTGACATTTATCAGAATCAGCAGTCGATGACTGCGGCACCGAGAGGTCTTCTAGCTGTTTTTATATCCCCTCTCACAAAGGGGCCTGACAATACAGAATGCGTAAAGGTTGTCATCAAAGCCAGGGGCAGAACAGTTGCAACAATTGCAGTTTTCATGCTGAATCAGAGGAAAGCAGAAATTTTCGGCTGGGGAAATACAGAGTAGACATCATTGTCTCTGCATACGTATCACTGTGGGTGGGGAGTGTGCGTGCTCACCAGGGCCGATGGAAATCAGACATCACACCTGAAACTTACTAACTAGTCCCCTTTGATTGGTTTTTCAATAAAATTCTTTGGGTTTTGTCTGTGCACTTTTGAGGCATCTTGCTCAGTAAGACGGGGAGGGTTTGAATGTTGAAAAAGGAAACCCAAAGAAAGCCACAAGAGACAAAGAAAAGCTGGGGTGTTTTCTGCTAAACGATGAAAGTTCAGTGAACACAACATAAGAGATCTACGTTTCATTCTTTCTCCCTCCAGAAAAAGTGAGCAAAGAGCACAATCACACGAAAGAAAACACCATCCGGACGACCACCAGGTAGGCCACTTTGTGTGGGGTCCCCTCAGAGCGCCCTTGTGTGTGGGGCCTCAGGCCGGCCCAGGCCCGCACTTGACCTTGGCCCAGACTGCTTCCTCCAGGGCTGGAGGAGCCACACCCCTTCCACCTGGTTCCACCAGAAACTCTCAGTTGATGGGAAAACACAGAAATTAAGGACAACAAGAGGAAGACCCTAATGTTTGTGAAACATCCTCTCACCTTGCTGGGAATTTTCCATGTTATTATTTCTTCCAATAATTTTGTGATGTACATAGTATTATCAGCATTGCAGAATATTTTTTTTTGTACTAGAATTAAACCCGAGACCTCATGATGGATCCTAATCACATGTTACACGGGCTACACTGCCAGCTAACAGAAGTTTGTTGACTTGAGAGTTTAAATGGGTGGCATAGCTGAGATTGGCAGTGGGGTCTGTAGCTCATGAGTTCTCACACCCTGTCGGTAAACTGAGGTCCTTATTGCAACTCTGCTCCTTACTGTTTGGCTGGGAGCTGATGATTTGTCACCAAGGATATCACACTTTTACCTCCATAGCGTTGGGTGGAGGGCAAGAGTTTTTAAAGCAAAAGAAAGAGAATACTTTAAAAAATTGCAAGAACCGAGTGTGGTGCCAACTGCTCAGGAGGCTGAAACAGGAGGATCACTTAAGACCAGGAGTCCAGGGCCTGTCTGGGCAACACAGGGAGAGCTTGTATCAGAAATAAATTACTTTTGGCCAGGTACGGTGGCCCACACCTGTAATCCCAGTGGTGCGGGAGGATCTCAAGTTCAAAGCCAGCCTCAGCAACTTAGAAAGGCCCTAACCAACTCAGCGAGACCCTGTCTCTAATAAAATATAAGAAAGGACTGGGGATGTGGCTCAGAAGTTAAGTGTTCCTGGATTCAATTCCCGGTACCAAAAAATAATAATTAATTAATTAATTAAAGCTATAAGAAAATCAGTATTATCAACACTTAGGGGGAAGGAAGTTTTCTATTTGGAAAATGCAGTTCAAGGAGGTAGCTAGTGTTGGTTGCCCATCATTCTGCCATGAGGAAAAGAGGAGGGCCAGCCAGTGTGGATGGACAGATGGGGTTTAAAGGCCACCCAGAAGTGTCAGAGGCAAGAACCAACCATCCAGTCCCCTGCCGCAAACACACACGCTGTGGAAAAGGAGTTCAGGGAAGACTCAGCCTCCGCCTCTGAAAGACCATCCTCCACTCTAAAACCATGCTCCGTTTTGTAAGTTAGCCCAAGACAGAAGCTTTACAGGATGGACAAGAGGGATATAAGTGTACAGGATAGTGGCTAGGAACCAGGAGAACAAGCCCCAAGCTACCGAGATCTCTTTAGGACAAGGAACTTGGCTGTCCTGAGCAGAGACAGTCTTCCTGATGGTGTGGTTGATTGGTTTTCTCTTTTTCATTCTTGAAACACAAGATAAATGATGCTTTTCATTTTGGTGAATGGACCTCAGGGCATCATCAGGCATGTGGACAGGACTCACATGGACTTAAACCCAAGGTGTTTTAAAATTCTGTGAATTGGAATCCAGGAATATCAATCAGAAACCCACAAAGCCACCTGCCGCCTCCTGGGCTGGACAGTGCTGGGGAAGCCAGGTCTGTGACGCAGATGGAAGGCGAGTCTCGTGAAGATGCTCTGAGGAGGGTACTGGGAACTGAGTCTGGGAGCGGAAAGGCTATTTTGTCTATTAAGTTGGACCCCAAGCAGATGGGAGCTGCGGTAGACTGCAGCCTCCTCCTTCATGTAATCCTAAAGCTGCATCTTATGTCTCTGGGTCTAAGCACGGAGGGAAGGCACCAGGTTGGTGGGCCTTTACCGACCACTCCCTAAACACAATACCCACTAACTTTAATTGGCTTCCATCGGGTTCTTGAAGTGTCACAGGCAGGTTCTCTAGGAACAGAGCAGAAGATAGGGATTCCCAGGGGGTGCTTTCCTTGGGAAGTGCCCTCAGAGGGGAGGTGACGGGCAGGAGAGGGAAGTGGGCGGAGCCCATCTAGGATATGGTTTCATTGGGGGTTTAGCCTCAGCTCCATCCCAGGTGCACCAGTGGCTGCACCCCCAAATTGTTCAGGTCCCCCCAGGGCGGAGGTGTCCTCCCCGGGGGCAGGGAGGGTTCTCAATCATGGTCAGCACTCAGCAGCTCGAGTGGGTGCCCAGTGTAGGAAGTGTAGGAAGGAGGACCTGGGCAGGACCCAAGGCACATCCCAAGGGGGTTCCCGCCAGCCTTTTAAGATCACCCGGTAATACATCACAGAAAGGGGTGCCTGGACACCGTGTTATTTTAGGCTTTTTAGGTTTTCTGGGAAGAGGCAGGAGGAGGTTTCAACTAGCCCCAGAGAACTGAAAAGCACCTCAGGCTCAATTGCCTTGGCTGGCGCTAAAGCGTAATTAGAGGGTGGAAGAGCTTTTTTTTTAACCATTTGGCAAAAATGAAGCAATCCTTAAATTCTCCTCTTGCTGGGAGATTATGAGTAAGAAGAAACTTAAATCAGATCTTTTGCCCAAAGCAAAGGAAGAACAGCTTCCTAGGAGTCCCTGGAAGCAGAAACCTGTGTTACAGAAACTCTCGGCTTATAATTCTACCAAATCCTTGGTATGCTTTTATGTTTCCTTCAAGTGGGCCACTGGCTCAATTAGCCTATCCACAAATAGGTTTCTCTTTTACCTCTTACCCCGTTGCTTCAAGTGCAATAGAATCAAGCGGCTTGATGCCAAGAAATGGTCTTTAATTTAACTGATAGCAGAAATCCCCTCTCCCCTCCCCGCCCCCCCCCTCTCTTTTCTGATTCCTGTTTTTAGAAGGAACTTGTTTTGTAAGCTCAAGATCAGTGTATGCTTTGTTGTAAGGTATGATTCATGGTGCAGTTCAAAAAAGATGTACATCAAGCCTCCAAATTCCTGTACCTCCAGATTTTTAAGTACTTAGTGGGATATTTAGTTATCCTATGTCTTATGTCTGATTTCCTAGAAGAAGCTGACTGTTCAAAGCAATGGCCAATGATGGGAATCATGTTCAGAATTTTCCATGGTGGAGGGTTACTAGGTGTATTCAAGACAGTTTAATCATGAAGGGCGGCTCCAGGACACCAGCCTCACAAGACTAAGATGGAACCTTTCTTGCCTTCCTTGTGCCCTCGGATGCCCTACCGCCTTGAGGCTCCACCTCCTGGAGTCCCAGGGACGTGGGGGGGTGCGTACAATACTGAAGGAGTGGGTTTTCTCCCTGTCCTTTATAAGCCCACAGCTCCTCTGCCCAGTTGATTGCTATTGATTCTGACATTGATTCCATCCACAGTAGGTAAAGAAGAGTGTAGCACCCCAATGCACCACAGCTTGGCGTCCCCATCCATGCTGGTCAGTGATGGGGGGTGGGGTGCTGATTTCCATTCTGGGCCCCAAGAACATGAAGCCCATGGTATGAGCAGCTCCTTCATCCTGTGCAGGCTGGTGTGACTCCTCTTCACATCCTCCCTCCTCACCCCTGGCCACTGACCACTCAGCTCTCTGTTGGACCTCTTATAAGCCAGCCGGGCAGGTGTGGAGAGCAGAAAACAACGTGAGACGGCAATCCTCATTAGCAGCTTTTAAAACGAGGTTTCAGTGACGCTAAAGGTTGAGATCAGTAACTAGCAGGTTTCTGGATCACTGATTCTCTGCCTCATTCTGTTTAACTCTTACCGTGGGAAATCTCGAGCACTGACTGAAGTGGAGGGCTTGTACCTTTCACCCAGATGAAACGATGCTCGGGTCCCAGCCACGTTGCTTCCCCATCTCCCTCCCTCCTTCCCCCTCCCCCGATGTGATTTTGAAGCCCATCCCAGACACCGTCTTCAAAACTGGTAAAATGCATTTTGTTTTGTTTTGGTTTGGTTTTTTTCCATCCTAAGAACTTAGACTCAGCTGTGTAAATTAGGATCATCTTCCCAATTTGCTGGAATCATCCTATTCTGCATCCCAAAAGTAAAGGAGAAAAGCAATCTACCAAAGTGCCCCATGTAGCCAGGCAGAAAAATCCATTTACTTAGCAGCTGGCATGATTGGATCAGGTGGTCCGGCTCACCAGTCCTCGGCCCTGTCCCCGCCACCCGCCCTTGTTTGCACCCTCACACAGACACCTCCGCTGATCAGGTCCCGTAGCTGGAACTTCACTGCAAATGCTAAGGCGGCAGTCCTTTTGCCTGTTCAACCTGAGTCTAGAAAATTCAATCCAACTGGGTCCCCTCTGAGATAGCATGTGAACCGAGCGATCTTCGTGCCATTCTATCCGACAGATGAGATGAGGAGAAAGTCCCGGCCAGACCCAGGAGAACTGCAGGACCGAGCACTGATGAGACTAATAGAATCCTGATTTTCCTCCTTCCTCTCCCAGCACGAGCCTGGGTTCTGCGGGGAGCAGATAACCAGCTATTAGGATCATTTGGTAGATGAAAATACATGAGGCATGATATCATAACCAGATCCCGAAGTTTAATGGAATAAAAAGAGGATCTATATCTTTCGACATGGACCATCGCCCCGACAGATGCCAGATAAGATCCAAGAAGGGAAACAGAGCCCTAGAGTAGGAACCAGATAGTTCCTGGCAGGTGACTCCGCCGTGCTCGGTGTTGGGCGACACCCCGAACCTCAAACAATGGCTGCCAGGAACCCTCTCTGGATTATTTGTTCTCTCTTTTCCCCGTTAATAATTCAGCATCCGTAGGGGTATAAGATTGCAGGCCTATGAGAAAAAAACTTCTCACACCTGGCTTGCTTTATCCCAAAAGCAAAGAAGCATTTGCCGGAATCATCCTGTTCTGCATGCCTAGACAAAAGGCGGCAGTGGGGGGAGAAAAATCAGAGAAAGATAGACTCATCTCATGCTGTGCACACCAATATTTAATTTGCCCAATTTTCAGAATCTGAAATGTGGGCTATTTTCCTATGATTTAGATAATGGCACAAACAGTGTTTGCTAAAAGACATA